CCCCAAAACCCCAAAACCCCAAAACCCCAAAACCCCTTTTAAGGCTGCCTTAATTGTATTTAGACAAATATCTAAAAATGTATCTATCCAAGACTAGGCTTGAAGAGCATAAGCAAACTGAAGAGAGTACTCGCATCAGTGATGTCCATGCAAGAGAGATTCTTGATTCTAGAGGAAACCCAACAGTTGAGGCTGAAGTCACAACTGAAGAAGGCTTTGTCTTTAGAGCTGCTGTACCTAGTGGAGCCTCCACTGGAATCTATGAGGCTCTCGAGCTGAGAGACAAAGATGGAGACAGATACTTGGGGAAAGGTGTACTTACAGCTGTTAAAAATGTTAACGACATCATCTGTCCAGCTCTCAAAGGGCTTTCAGTCCTTGAACAAAGCACTTTGGATAAGAAAATGGTCGAAGAGATTGATGGAACTCAGAATGAATGGGGCTGGAGTAAATCTAAGCTCGGAGCTAACGCTGTCTTAGCTGTTAGTTTAGCTATTGCAAGAGCTGGTGCTCATGCTAAAGGAGTTCCTTTGTATCAACATATTGCTGGGCTTTCTGGAAAGGGAACTGATAAATTCATTCTTCCATGCCCATCTCTGAACATCATTAATGGAGGATCTCATGCAGGAAATAAACTTGCCATTCAGGAGTTTATGATCTTACCCACTGGAGCATCTACTTTTAAGGAAGCTATGCAGATCGGTTGTGAGGTATATCACAACCTCCAGAAACTTATTAAGAAGAAGTATGGTCTTTCCTCTGCCAACGTTGGTGACGAGGGAGGATTTGGATGCCCAGAGATTAACGATGAGACAGAAACTTTGGAGCTTATCAATGAAGCTGTTGAAGCAGCTGGCCACACTGGTAAAGTGGATGTTGGTCTTGATGTAGCAGCCTCTGAGTTCTACAAGGATGGCAAGTACGACCTTAGCTGGAAGACTGGCACCGGAGATAGAATTGTTGACACTGATGGATTCATTGAAATATATGATGATATCTCCACCAAATACCCTATTGTATCCATCGAGGATCCATTCGATCAAGATGATTTTGAAGCTTACACTAGAATGCAAGAAAAGATGGGTGATAAGATCCAGATTGTTGGAGATGATTTACTTGTAACTAACCCAAAGAGAGTACAGAAAGGAATCGATGAGAAGATGTGCAATGCTCTTCTCTTGAAAGTTAACCAGATTGGTTCACTCACTGAGGCTATTGAAGCATGCAATCTTTCAACTGATGCTGACTGGGGAGTCATGGTCTCACATAGAAGTGGTGAAACTGAAGACAACTTTATCGCTGATCTTGTTGTAGGACTTGGAACAGGACAGATCAAGAGTGGAGCTCCATGCAGATCAGATAGGCTAGCTAAATATAATCAGCTAATCAGAATTGAGGAAGAGTTGGGTGACAGAGCAGTGTTTGCAGGAAAGAATTTCAGAAACCCAACATCTCTGTTATAATCATGGTTCTTTTTCAACAGCCATAAAAACATAGGGGTTTTGGGGTTTTGGGGTTTTGGGGTTTTGGGGTTTTGGGGTTTTG